CGCCGCTCCACCTGGGGAGGAGCTTCTTGATATCTCGAAGCTAGGGATATCGGAACAGATTGTGTCTGCGCTCTCTCGCCGAGGAATTACTGAGCTTTTTCCTATTCAGGTGAAAGCAAAATTGCTTTTTTTTTAATTTAAATTCTTCTTGAATTAGGTTTTTTTGCGTTAAAAGTTTTGTAAGTTTCATTGTGCGAGTGAAAATTGAGATTTTAGACCTAAGATTGGAAGGTTGGTTGGTGAATTTTTTTTTAAGCGGCATTAAAAAGTTGGTGCTAGCAGCTTGATGCTGAAATAATTTCATTTCATGAAGGGGAAAAAGTATAATTTTTCTTATGTGGTCAACCTAGTGTGTAAGAAAAAAACTTCATCTTTGTGCTATCCATTAGTTTTTTATTTTTTATTTTTACCTTTCTTTGAAGTAGAAATATGGTATGGAGTTTGCTGAAGTTTAATGAAACCCAAGTAAAGCAATCAAGATCTGTTAAAAAAAACATAATAGTTGATGTATTTTCATAAACTTAAAATTTTTTATTTAGTGTGCGGGGTTGTTGTTGTTGGGGGTTTTTGGTTTTTCGGTTTAATGAAACCCAAGTAAAGCAATTAAAATTTTGTATTTAGTTTGCTTTTTTTTTTTTTTTTTTGGGCTATTGGTGCGGGTGGTTGTGGTGTGTGGTGGGGTGGGTGGGGGGTGGGGGGAGGGGGGATGAAAGGCATAAAATATGCCAATGCACACCGCTGGTCTTCAAGTGTTGAGCTCTATTTGGCCTATTTAGAACATAGTGTTTTTTCTATCTCTTTAGCTACATTATGCTGTATACATTTCTATATAAAGCTTTTTCTATAAAAAAAGGTGTATCATTTTTATGGATTTCCCCATCAGTACGAACTAAAATTTGAGTTGTGCATTACTGATGAAAACATCAACTGTAGAGAGCTGTATTGGAGCCACTCATGGAGGGACGGGACATGATTGGAAGGGCTATTACTGGGTCAGGAAAGACTCTAGCATTTGGTATTCCGATATTGGATAAGATTATCCGACACCAAAGTCAGAGCAGGTTTGTTCTTTTCACTGTATAGTGCCATGTGTCTATATTTCAGTATTAAATAGTTCAGTATATGGATAAAAAAACTTCTAATTTCATGAGCAGAGGAGTTGAGTCTTTTCCCACCATAATGGTGGTCATAAATACTAGCAAATTGCTGGAATCACTTGATGATTAACTGCAAAGTGGTCTAAGAAAGATTACCAATACATGACCCTACTATGAAAAGTAAGTTGGTGTTTTTTAATATCTGAATTTCTGGTCATGCTACCTTGTGTTGGAGTTATAACTTAAAACTTGATTTTGGAGTGGGGAAGTTTAGTCCCACATTGGATAGGAGATGAGAATGAGGGTTGTTTATAAGCATTCTCTTTCTCTCCTATGCCTAGAAGGAAATATGAGTTATGCTCCACACCACACACGCGCGCTTTGAACCAAACCGGGCCGGGTCGCGTTGGGCTTGGGTTCGGGTCGGGATGCACGCGCCTACAACTTGCGGACACGAATATAGCTCCGGATTGAGGGGTCCTTAATCTGCTACATTTTAGATTTTTATTTTTGCAAATTGGAACAATTAAAACGTGTTAAACATTTAGCTGCGAGATTGGTGGATCTAAACGGACACGAGATTGGTGGATCTAAACGGACACGAGATTGGTGGATCTAAACGGACGCGAGATTTGTGGATCTAAACGGGTGATAATTGTGGATCTAAACGGCGGTTTTCAACCTATAAAATGACCTATACCTACGACGAGGGTTTTAAACACAGTGAATAACAGATCTTCTCTTCTTCTTCTTTTCGAAATATTCCTTTTTGCTGTTATATTTTCGCTGCTTCCCTGAAAGTCTTGAAGAATTCGCAAAGCCTTCTTGAAGCTCGTGCCGATGAGAAGGAGGTCGCCTGACCGAGGATCGTAGTATCTCCGAGATCTATTATCGCGTAGCCCTGTACGAGAGGGGGCAATTAGATTCTTGGGACAATGTCTGGCACACTTCGATCATCAGACTATATTCTAAACTTTATTTAATTTAATTAAATATCTATTTTTAATCATTATCTAAATCTGTTATTTTTCGATTTCAATTAACTGTTAAAACTGCATTTCGTGCTAATTACAGTCTAAACAACACCTTATTTCTAACACCTTAAGCTCATGGAATTCTTCTTGACTGTCCTTCATAACATGGAAGAGACAACAAGAGGGCAAAATGAAATTTGGCATGAGGAAAGCAATTCACATTTGAGATATATGGTTCAGATCAATGAGCATTGGATCAATGTTGCTTTTTTTTTTGATGTAATAGTTTAGACTTATCCTGAACGGGGCTGTGCCAATACTACATTTTATTTGCATCCATCGCCCGCATATGGACAAAGATGTTTTCTTTCAATATTTACTGTTGCTCATGCTTCTATGAGAAGTATACCTGCAACCTGTACCTTCTTGGACTCAAGCATGTGAAAACATTACCTTCACAAAGCTTTATATTCCCATATTTGCATGGTGCAATTATATATCACGTTTGTTGTAAATAAGGTTATATTCTCTACTTTATGGCTTAAATTATCAAATTTACTAAACATTTGATTATGTGTTTTTCTTATTATTTAACTGATGGTTCATATGTTAACTGTGTTTATCCATTTTGTTATAGGAAGAAAAGAGTTCCCTCTGCTCTGGTATTGGCACCTACACGTGAACTTGCACGACAGGTGCAACAAGAGTTCAAAGTATCCGCTCCAAATTTGAGCAGCACTTGTCTCTATGGTGGTATATCAATTTCAAATCAAGTAAGGACATTAGGGTTTGGCATTGACATTGCTGTTGGGACCCCTGGAAGAATTATCGACTTAGTTGAACGAGGTGCCTTGGATCTATCTGAAGTCAAGTTTGTTGTATTGGATGAAGCTGATCAGATGTTGGCTATTGGTTTTCAAGAGGATGTTGAATGTATCCTGGGTTACTTACCGGCAAGAAAGCAGTGCATGTTGTTCTCAGCTACCATGCCTTCATGGGTTAATGATCTATCTAGGAAGTTCCTGAGAGACCCCTTAGTAGTCGACCTGGTAAGTTTTATTCCTTCCCAATGTGTTAATAATAGTACTTGGTTTTATCATCACTCCGTCGCTATAATTGTGCAGGTTGGTAAGAGTGATCAAAAGTTAGCGGAGGGTATTACTCTCTATTCAATCGCATCCTCTAATTCCAATAAACAAAATCTTCTTCCCACTTTGATCTCTGTAAGTCAATTTATCTGATGAGCGCATTGTACTTCAGATATTTGTTAATTTAAGCTGGATATATTGCCATGTTGTATTATGACATAAGCTGCCAAAAAACTTTTTCCTCCTTTTGATGGAGTAAAGAATCTAACTTCCACACCTGATAGTCTGAATCATTTGGAAAGAGTTCTACTTGTCACGCATGCTGAATATGTATGTACTATCTGGGTTGTAATTATTAATATATTTTATTTTTTATCACTAATATTTGAAGAAATTGAAGGTAATATTTGCTTTTGAGCTTTTATACTATTTTCCTCATATTAAAACAGAAAATCTGAACCATCATTTGACAGTTCGATCTGCATGATTCTACCACCCTTCTCAAGGCCATACAACTAAGAATGTTAAATCTTCTAGTTAACATGTACTAGTCCTTGAGTAGTTTTCTGCCACCTGGCATCATGGTGAAGCTATCATAAGCTGAGGCACTCTATACCAATAGACGCCAAAGGTTTGACTGCTTATGGGTTCTGCACATGGTCCATATCAAGATGCTTTTAGCAAGGTCTTGGCATATCAAGGCACATTTGTTTTTGACCCACACTTTCAATCCTTCTCCAAAGAACGTGCCCACTCACTGCCAGGGGCTTCCTAGTGTCCATCAAACTGTCAATAAAGCAGATAGAAATCTGGATTATTTTGTGTGACCTCTACCTAGCAGCAAGAGGCCAAGCAGTAGTTTATGAGGCACATTTAAGTACAACAAATGAAGAAAAGTTTATTGGAAAATCTGAATTTTGATAATGACGCCCTTTAGTTAATAATTACTACGATTGATTTATGAATCATTTGCACTGGGATAGTCTGATTCCTGTTCTTGTGGTCAGTAACTTGGGTTATTTGCTCCAATAATTTATGGGTTCTTTTGCATAGTCCCTAGCTCTTACATGTGCTGGAAGTTCAGTGTCATCAAGTGAGTTTGTATATAGCATCTGAAGTTAGGGTCCATTGAGTGAGAAACTTTGTTGTAATGATTATCAAAGGCCTACCACTATTGCACTTTTTGGTATGATAGTCAGCATTACCGTGTGGCTTTTATATCCTTTTTTTTCGTTTGATACCTTGGCCACCAGTATCTCATGGATCCATAATATAGAGAAGGGACATGGTAATTGATAAGCAAATAAGACAAGCAAAGATAAAACATCCGAAGTTTGTATCAAGCTGACTTTGAACTTTTATCACTCTCCACTTTGGTCAAGTCTTCTCAATGTTTCTTAGCAGTCACTTAAGCATGTACAAATTTCCAGCTTTTGAGCCCAAAATTTCCACCGTCGATATGGTATACTTCCTTTATATCCAGTTAATCTAACTCATGACTTTTTTTTGCTACATAATTTTGTTTTTAATTATAACTTCAATTTCACTTGGTTCTGCTTGATTTTGCATGCCTTTATTGTTGACATTAAAACTCAACTTTTGGTGTTTAAGAAATATGGACAAGGAGGTAAAAGTATAATTTTCACAAGAACAAAGAAAGACGCCGAGTCACTCTCAAGGACCATGAGGAGCATAGTTGGAAGCAAAGCATTGCATGGTGATATGCAGCAGCTGCAAAGGGACCGAACTCTTGCTGCTTTTCGTGACGGAAGATTTGATGTGCTGGTTGCTACTGATGTTGCTGCACGTGGTCTTGATATTCCCAATGTAGACCTGGTAATGCTGCCTCTTGCCCAAATGTCATTTTTTCTGCTAAACATTGTTAGATGTATCTTTCTTTCAAGTTATCTAATTCTAATGAGGATGGAATATGCAGGTTATCCATTTTGAAATGCCAAACAGTTCTGAGTTTTTCGTTCATAGATCAGGTCGTACTGGCCGAGCTGGAAACAAGGGAACTGCGATTCTTATGTTCAGTGAAAGCCAGCGGCGTACGGTCAGATCAATGGAACGAGAACTTGGATTCAAATTTGAAGAGGTATGCAATAGTCTGCCATTGTGTGATTGACTTTGTTTTTATCCATTCTTATTATTGAAGTTATCGTTCTATTTTTTTAGTTACTCTATAATCTAGTAAGAAATATGTCCAATGACATCATGCAATCTTTTAATTAAGTTCAGGAATTGTAACCATAGTTGACTTTGATATGGTATATATGAAGTGATGAACACGGCCTACAGTTTTTGAGTACCAGATGTTGTTGTATTGCTACTTAGTTCATACATACGATGACTTAGTGAACATAATTACAGCTACAGATTTATAGTAGATTATGTCTAATTAATTTTAATTTCACTATTTTAGGTCGTACTCTGGCTTATTAGACATAATGCATGTATGCTGTAAATATGTTTTGAGAGGAAGGCTGTAAAGTCTATAGTTTACTTCATCGATATGGTGCTACTGAAATAATCATATATAAAGCTAAATCCATGCACATGCCCATAGTTGAACCCTGAAATTATTTGTTGTGCTATGATTTAAAGCACTGGCAGTTGCTTACACCTTCTAATGCAATTAGTAGGCTCTTGACCTTGAATGCAGCTCCTGCAAGTCAGCAGTGCTATGCTTCATAAGCATATGCTTGTTCTGGGTTTACATCTGATTTTGTTCTTAAAAGAACTTGAAGGCCGCTGTATCCAAATACTGCGTGAATTATTAAAAAAAATGCAAGATACTCGGTGGTATACGTGGCTGAGATGTCTGGTGTGTCTTCAACCTTGAAGCTAGCTTTGTGGCAGTTGGATATGGAGTTGATGGTATTTAATTTTAATGATGTAAATTATTAGAAATTTAGAGTTCAGTTATAGGAGAAATTTAAAAAAAAATCCAAGTTGAACATGTAATTATAAAAATCGACCATCTTTTAATTTGCTTACCATTTTCGATCAATTTTGTCCACGTGGTTGGTTTTGAAAATCGGAATTTTTGTTATACCCGGACTGGCAATACTGGTAGGTAACAACTTTTTTTTTAAAATTGTGCTGGTAGTTAAACAACTTAATGTTAAACATTATAGGGATAGGGGTCTGGTTAATTATTAGACGGAAAAAAATAAGTGGATTTTTTAGGGAAAAATGACAAGAAAAGGAAAAAAATATCTAAATTTTTTCATAGCAGATTGCCAAACAAAGTACAATGGTCTACTTACATATAGTTTTAATTTAACTTTTAGTTATGAATGAATAATATCATTTTATTAGATTAGTTAGAATTTTGGATTATTATGAATTATTAGGATAGGTTTAATTATGGGAGTTACGATTTTGATTGTAACCACCTCAAATCTTATCTTTACTATACAAAACAGATGCGTAATATCCAGGGATGTATTACTGATTAATTCGCGATTAAATAGGTAACTACTGGGATCGGCAATCCTGGTAGCTGCCACAATCAAAAATTTCAGAATCGACCAATTTCTGGTTTACATGGTAAAAATAGGTCGAAAATGATAAATAAATAAATAAAATTCAATTTCTATAATTAAATATTAAAATTGGTTCCTTTTAAAAATTTGTCCTCATTGAATTCAGAACTTGAGATTATATCATGTAATGTCTGATCAGCTCCCTCGCTCTTTAAGTATCCCCGGGCACAGGCGAGAAGCTTCTTATATCGACATATGTTTTTGAGTAAAATATTGGTCACAAACTTAAGTGATGGATACTTATTAACATTTTTAATTTTTTAATATATGTTAAAAATTTCATGGTACTGTTTGTATTTAACAGCTCCGTGGAATTACCAGCAGTGTTGGTATGAGAAGAGAAGTAGAAGAAAGCTTTTATGAGTCAGATGATGATCTGGATAGTCAAAAAATTGACCGCCCTAACTACAGTAAGAACCGTCAATATGGGAACATGAACAACTTCAGAAGCAACTATGGAAGATCTCGAGGATCTAATACATCAAAGTACTCAGAGAGCAACTTTAGGGGAAAGAACTACTCATCAAGCAATTCTGAGCCCAGGAATGGCCGTCAAAGTCAAAGTTATGGTCAGGCCAGAACCCAGTTGGGCAAGTATGGTGATTATGGGCAAACCGACTCTCGATGGTCTTCAAGATTCGGTGCACGAGAAAGATCAAGTGCCTCGGACAGGATGAATGGTAACAGATCAAGTGCCCCTGACCCGCGATGGTCTTCAAGATTCGGTGTAGGGGAAAGATCAAGCGCCTCTGACAGGACGTATGGTAACAGAACGAGGCAGAGGGGAGCAAGGCAACGATCCACCTCCCAGAGCGATGATTTTGATTTTGATGGCTTGCTTGACTTGTTTAAGGATAATTAAGATTAAAGGAAAAACAACAGGTCTCAGTTCGCATTTTTGGGATGGTCTAATTGCAGGTATGATCTCAAGAGAGTTAAGTAGGAAGATAGTGATAGTTGAATGTGTTTTTAAGAATTGCGCTACTAACATGAAATGATGTTCAAACTTCTGCTAGATCTTGTTGTGAAGAAGTGGATTAGGAGCGCTTCCACGTTCTAAAGGATTGAGATTTCGAAATATAGGTCATTCCGATCTACGATTGATCTTCATCGAGTATATTTTATGGATGCTTGATCAGAGAGCGGCATGAGCTGAGGTTTACCGAATTGATGTTCCTATTTGCAGTTGTTTACCGCAAGACCATGAAACTGGACATGTAGCTTATACTATAGAACTTTATTCCTTATTCTGCGTAATTTTTTCATATATAGATTTCGATATTCTATTCTAGCAGCGTTCTGTGTGATATATATCAATCTTGCAAAGTGTAACCAGAATTCTTGAAGCCGGCCAAGAAAAGGGAGAACATAAGCTTTGTGTGTGGGTTTTTTTCCCTTTCTTCAAAATCCATGCAAAATGTAAGATTGCAAGGGCATGGCAAGGGCATCTAGTTACCGAACTTACCTTGAGACAACTGATAAGATAAAGGGTTCTTATTGGCAGCTCATGCGAAAAGGAAGAGCCCGCGCTTGATTTTAGCTTCATTGCAGCAGCTAATCCTATCAGCGTGTACTCAGCTTTCTATATGCAACATAATAATGACATCTTTTACTTGGATAGTTACCTATAATAATCTTCTTCACGATAAACTTTCATTGTATTATCTATATCTATCTATATTACTTATATTACTTATAAAAGGGATTACTCATATCAAAATTTCTGATTTCTTTTTTTGCGTTCTCAGAAATTGAAAACTTGCAATTATACTATTAATTGTGATTAAATTAAATTAAATGTCAACTAATTACCCAAAATATCTTATTAATTAAGGACCTCCTCACTTTCCCACATATTTAGGCATTCACTAAAATGTAATTTATATAAATACTTTATAACGATAGCAAAATTCATAAAATATCTTATAATTTATATAAATAATTATTAATCATAACAAAATAGTATAAACTAATCAGTGTAATAAAGTATTTTATAAAATGACTAAATAATTTATTAAATAATATATTATTAAATTGTTAAATGCCTATTTATAAATTATAATAAAATGATATTATAAATAAAATAATACACTATGAAACAACTAAAAAATATATATCATTGAACAAATAGCACAGTAACATTGTGTAAATACTAATAGCAAAATAATATAATTATGTTAATTGTTATGGTAATTTACCATCTAAAGATGAAGATACCAAAAGATTGTCTGCATAGGCTAAAGAGGCCATGGTTCAAACCAGCTTAGAGGCTCCAAAGCCCAGCCAAGGGCAAGTCTATCGGCCAGTCGAGCGGACGAGTCATTTTTGACCAAGGGTCATCATTACCGACTCGAAGGACCAATCGGTCCCTCGTAATCAAGACGACTCCTCCAACAGATTTCTCGACTATACACTCGATTCGAATCTCACTCGGCTATCAAGTCGGGAAATCACAAAGACAACTCACGAACCGACTCGCCTCTACTAAGGGGATAAGATCCAGCTAAGCTCACCTCAGATGTCAATCAACACAACAACACTGATCAGTCCCATCAAGATCTCTGCTCTGACAAATCCCCTGCACAAGCTGCTTATTCCACTCACAAGTCACTTCTCTGGGATTGCCATGATGCTCTCCTGTATTCGAATGACTTCCCCTCCAATCACCAACCGCCATCTGGAGAGGGAAGGACGACCGAGCAGCGGGCCTATCCTCTGCCCTGCCTCATCTGTCAAATTCAGGATGCTGAGGGGACATCTCTCTCTTGTATTTGAATGACTTCCCTCTCAATCGCCAGCCGACACCTGGAAGGAGAAAGATGACCCAGCCTCCAGCTCACCCTTCAACCGCCTTCTGTGCCTAACCAAAGCCGAAGGGACAAACTCCCAGAGGCGATGGGCTATAAAAGGGGGGAATTAAGGTAAAAGAGGGAATTCTTTTTCTGCTACTTCTTGATAAAAGCTCAGAATTTACCTTTGCTAAAAAATAATCATTAATTCCACAAGAGTACCCCCTGCAAGGACCTCAATGGCCCAGGGACCTCTCAAAAAACCCTCCTCAAGTTTACCGGCTGACTTGACCGTCGGAGGTACATCGTGGAAAATTAGCCCGGTACTCCTGCTATTCTTACATGTGCAGGCTATCAGTCCACCCCGCGCGCTCAGAATCGGGCGTAGAGTCGGAGGAGGAGTCGTCCCCATCTCTTATCCTCCTAACCTTCGTCATCAACGGAAGACCCTCATCAACTGTGTGTTCATGGACATCAACAGTTTGACGCCCATCGTGAGGCCCACTTTCTTCTCTGAGAAGACATGCCCAACTCTAAACAGGGGCCTGATCTTGTCTATTCTTAAAAGATGCCGCTGGAATTGCACCATTCAAGCTAAACAAAGCCTGAAATCGCATCATTCAAGCTAAGGAGGATTAGCCTATGGCTATGAGGAGCCAACATAGGCGTAGCCCTCGAGGGCTTCAACAGCTTTCTGGGAAGTATTCGCCAGGTGGAACCCAGAAAGCCCTCCTGGAAAAGACACACCACTATGGTGATTGTCTGGCTTGAAGATGATGCACAAGCTTCTTATCGCCGCCACATATGAAAACCCCACCGCTTGGACAGCCAAGAAGCCTGGGGTTGGATCGCAAACAGAACCCCAAGGGTTATGATCAGATCCAGTATTGCTCAAGCTCCTTGCCGGCAATGGCTCACCCGAGCAAGGAGTAGTGATTAAGTTTGTGGCTGGCTCCTCGGACCATCACCGCCTTCAAAGGAGAGTCCTTCCTCACCAAGTTGAGATTATAGGGAAAACTCAAGGGCTCGTCATCTAGTCTTCTCAAGAAGATTAACAGCCCCGACACCCCAGCAAATGCTCAGAACCGCCAGAGTCAAAGTAAGACCTGGTGGTCGAAGTATGTGAATTGCACTCCCTCTACAAGAACGCTCCTCCATTTATAGGATGGTCCGACCATCGCTATCCCTGGAAACCCTAAGGGGAAGTCATGATCCCATCAAATTCCAGGGAACAAAGCTTCGGCGCATGGGGTTCTCACCAAGAAGAAGCCCCCATCACAAAAGTTGTTTGGGCCTCCCCCTGTTGAGCATCATTCTCCAAAAGCTCAATCAGTCAAACTTTAGCCATACAACACAACCGGCGGTGGACAAGCAAGATCTGTTAAAAATCACCATGTCCAGCGTTGACCAGCAAAGACCTCAGCAAAAACTCAAAGGTTCAGAAAGGTCCTTGGCTGATGAGATGGCAAATATGCCAACAACTCAACAATGTCCAAAGCTAAATAGCTCACCCTCTAGAGGAAGAACAACCCCACCCTGATTATGGCCGTTCCTCAGTTTGGCAACAAAGACAACCAATGGAGCAACGACTTTCTCACATCAGAACAGAAATGTTCACAGGCGAAAAAGAAACATCCAAGGAAGCTCCGCCTCGGTGACCTTGCCCCCATCCAAAAAGCCATCTTCAAAATGCACCTGGGCAAGAAACATGAGTCTGGCACTGCCTGATGGAATAAATATGAATGAGTTGTACTCTATCATGTATAAATTTCAAAACAATCAATGAAAATGTCAGATAAAAAGAAAGACATCAAAAGACCTGGTCGTCTGGGCAAACGACTTCTCAGTCAGAATAAAGACCTTGGTACCTAATCTGGATAAAACCAAGACACAACAACTCCTCAGTCGATCACAAGACACTGGCACCGCCTTAGGACATGCCTAAGGTGCCACGACTCCTCAGTCGGTCACAAGGTTCTGGCGCCGCCTCAGGACAGGCCCAAAGCTCAACAACTTCTTAGTCGGAATAAAGACTTTGGTACCTAATCTGGATAAAACCAAGGCATAACGACTCCTCAGTCGGTCACAAGACCCTGGTGCCACCTCAGGACAGGCCCAAGGTGCCATGGCTCCTCAGTCGGTCACAAGGCCCTGGCGTCGCCTCAGGACATGCCCAAGGCGCGATGACTTCTTAGTCTGAATAGAGACCTTAGTACCTAATCTGGATAAAACTAAGCCACAACGACTCCTCAGTCGGTCACAAGACCCTGACACCGCCTCAGGACAGGCCCAAGGTGCCACGACTCCTCAGTCGGTCACAAGGCATTAGCGCCGCCTCAAGATAGGCCCAAGGCGCAATGACTTCTCAGTCGAAATAAAGACCTTGGTGCCTAATCTGGATAAAATCAAGGCACAACGACTCCTCAGTCGGTCATAAGACCTTGGTACCTTCTCAGGGTAAAACCGATGCACAACGACTAATCAGTCAGAACAAAGCCCTTGGCCCCTCTTAAAGGTAAGCCTAAGGCACAATATATAGTTCGATTCATTCTGCTCTCATCGTTCATAGTGGTCAAGACCTTGGTAACTTCTCAGGGTAAAACCAAGGTAAAATGACTTCTCAGTCGGAACAAAGCCCTTGACTCTTCCTAAAGAATAAGTCCAAGGCAAAACGACTTCTCAGTCGGAACAAAGCCCTTGGCTCTTCCTAAAGAATGAGTCTAAGGTAAAATGATTTCTCAGTCGGAACAAAGCCCTTGGCTCTTCCTAAAGAATAAGTCCAAGGCAAAACGACTTCTCAGTCAGAACAAAGCCCTTGGCTCCTTATCTAGGAACCAACCAAGGCACAACGACTTCCTAGTTGGGTCCGAAGGACTTAGCTCCCCATCGGGAGTAATATAAAGTACAAAGACTCTACAAGTTGGCAATCAAGTCTATGGTTCCCCACTTAGACAAACCAAAGAAAAAACCCCAGAGTCGACTTTTATGAGTTATTTTCTGACCAAACAGGAGAAACAAAGATGTTGCTTCTTATCCCGCATATGATATCTAATCTACAAGGACCAACACTCTTCTCAAAAAGAAAAATGGAGCCACAACATGAATCAGCTACTCTATCAAGCATTTGCAGTTCTCAAAAGCAGAAAATAGGAGAAATTGTTGCTCATTCAAAAAGGAGTTTTGTACATTCTTCAAAAGGCCTAATGAGGCTTACAAAAAAATTCCTAAGGCTCAGAAGCACTACCCCCGAAGTCCTTCCTCATTTTCTTCAAAGGCCTCCTAGAAGAACTCGGCTCCTCCGAGTCAACCCCTCTTTTACAAACCTCCATTGGCCGAGGAAGGGCCATCGCTTCGGGATCAGAGGAAGATAAGGAGGACCACCCCATCTCAGGAAACTCCCCTCTGTCCAGAGCTTTGGCCTCCTGAAGACCGAGGCGACACCGGAGCTTCTCAAGATCTCCAGCCTCGAGATCACTAAGGGTCCTCAGCTCCAACACATTATCCT